CCCATCCCTGGGATTCTCCAGGCAAGAACACTGGAGTGGGTTGCCATTTCCTTCTCCAATGCATGAAAGGAGAAGTGAAAGTGAAGTCGCTTAGTCGTGTCTGACTCTTAGCGACCCCATGGACTGCAGCCTACCAGGCTCCTCCATCCATGGGGTTTTGCAGGCGAGGGTACTGGAGTGGGTGCCATTGCCTTCTCTGAGACTGGAATACTACTCAGCCATAAAAAGAAACAACGCCACTTGCGACAACATGGAAGGACCTACAGCTAGTCACACTGAGTGAAGTAATTCAGACAGAGAAAGACAAGCACCATACAACATCACTCACAGGTGGCATAGCAAATATGATACAAATGAGCTTATTCATAAAACAGAAACTGATTCACAGACATAGAAGACATGCTTATGGTTACCCGGGGGGAAACAGGCAGTGAAAGTGTTTGTTGCTCTGTTGTGGCCAATTCTTTGCAACCCCTGGGACTGTAGCCTGCCAGGCTCCTCTGTCCCTGGAATTCTTCAAGCAATAATACTGGAATGGGTAGCCATTCCCTTCTCTAGGGGATTTTCCTGACCCAGGGATGGAACCTGGGTCTCCTGCATGGCAGGCAGATGCTTAACCATCTGAGGCATCAGGGAAGCATGAAAGAGGCATGAGGAGAGAGAAATTAGGAGTTTGGGGATTAGCAGGTACAAACTACTATACATGCAAAGTACTACAGAAGGTCTATCTTCTATGATATACACAAGGTATATCAGAGGGAACTATAGTCAATATCCTATAATAATAATGGAAAAGAATATATATCATATTCTATTCTATTATATATATATAAATCGAATCGCTTTGCTGTATACCAGAAACTAACACAACATTATAAATAACTACAAGAAAAAATATATTTCTGGGACTTCCCTTGTGGCCCAGTGGTTTAAGACTTCACCTTCCAGTCCAGGGGGCGTAGGTTTGAGCCCTCTTTGGGGAACCTAAGATCCCACATGCTGTGTAGCATGGCCAACAAAAAAGAATGTATTCCTTTTTATTACTGAAGAGTGTTTCATGGGATGAGCGTACCACAGTGCTGTAGATTAAACTTTTGTGTTGCTATATGGAGAAACTGAGCCCAATATAACAGTATTTAGAGGTGGGACTTTGGGGAAATGATTTGGTCGTGAAGGCAGGACACTTAAGAATGGGATTAACACCCTTATAAAAGAAACTCCAGGCTTTCCTGGTGGCTCAGCAGAAAAGAATCTGCCTGCCAATGCAGGAGACACATGTTTGATCCCTGGATTGGGAAGATCCCCTGGAGAAGGACATGGCAACCCACTCCAGTACTCTTTCCTGGGAAATTCCATGGACAGAGGACCACTGTGGGCTACAGTCCATGGGATCACAGAGTTGGACATGAGTTAGTGACTTAACAACAACAAATGAAATTCCAGAAAAGGAAGCAGGCATCAGGTCTGCTGGAGCCTGGATCTTGGACTTCCCACTCTCGAAATGTGAGAAATAAGTTTCTGTTGTTTATAAGCCTGCCTGCCTATGGTAATTTGTTATAGCATCGCAAACCGACTAACACACACAATTTGTTGAACCATCCATTCACCCACTAAAGAACATGCCGAATCATTTCTGGTTTTTGATTATTACAAATAAAGCTGCTATGAACATTCATGCACAAGTTTTTTTCTTCTTGTTTTAAGATTTATTTGTTTATTTTTTATTTTATCTCTGGCTGTGCTGGGTCTTCATGACTTTCTCTAGTTACGATGAGCAGAGGCTACCCTCCAGCTGCAGTGTCAAGGGCTTGTCATTACAGTGGCTTCCCTCGTGGTGGCTCCCAGACTCTAGAGCACAGGCTTACTAGTTGTGGCGCACGAGGCTTAGTTGCTCCGCGGCATGTGGTATCTTTTTGGACCAGGGATCAAACCTGTGTCCCCTGCATTGGCAGGCTGATTCTTAACCACTGAGCCATCAGGCAAGCCCATGCACAGGTTTTTATGTGAACATACATTTTGATTTCTCTGGGATTCCTGGTTGTATGGTAATTGCACATTTAGTTTTATAAGAAATTCCACAGTTTTCTGGAGTATGCGTGCCATTTTACATCCCCCCAGCAATGTGTGAGTAACTCAGTTTCTCTGTGTCCTTACTAGCATTTGATATTGTCACTATTTTTTTTTTTTGTAATTTTAGTGATTCTGGTAGGTGCGTAGTGACATCTTATTGTGGTTTATTTATCTGGTTGCATCAGGTCGTAGTTGCTGCATGGGTTCTCTAGTTATGGCCCATGGGCTTAGGTGCCCTGCGGCCTGTGGGATCTTCCCACACCAGGGATCGAACCCATGTCCTCTGCATTGAAAGGCAGATTCTTTACCACTGGACTACCACGGACATCCCTCACTGTGGTTTTAACTTGCATTTCCTTAATGGCTAAAGATGTTCAATATCTTTCAGCGTGCTTATGTGAAATCTGTAAATCTTCTTCAGTGAGATGTCTGTTCCTGTTTTCTGCTCATTTTCTAATTGGATTGTTGGGTGGTTTGGGGTTTGGTTTTGCCTTTACTGTTGAATTTTGGGAGTCTTTATGTTCTAGAAAGTAGTCCTTTGTTGGATATATGGTTTGCAAGTATTTTCTCCAACTCTGTAGCTTACCTCTTCTTCCTCTTGACTGTCTTCCACAGAGCAGCAAGAGTTTTACATTAAAAAAAAGATTTATTTGACTGCATGGGGTCTCAGTTGCAGCACACAGAACCTTTGATCTTCTTTTGCGACATGTGGGATCTAGTTTCTGGACCAGGAATCGACCCTGAGCCTCCTGCATTGAGCCACTGAACCACCAGGGCCATAAAGAAGGGTGAGCACAGAAGAACTGATGTTTGACATTTTGCTGTCATTGTTCAGTTGCTAAGTTGTGTCTGACTCTTTGCAATGCAATGGACTGTAGCACGCCAGGTTTCCCTGTCCTTCACTATCTTCTGGAGTTCACTGAAACTCATGTCCACTGAATTGGTGATACTATCTAACCGTCTCATCCTCTGCCGCCCCCTTCTCCTTTTGCCTTCAGTCTTTCCCAGCATCAAGGTCTTTTCCAAGGAATTGGTTCTTTGCATCAGGTGGCCAAAGTATTGGTGCTTCAGCATCAGTCCTTCCAATGAATATTCAGGACTGATTTCCTTTAGGATGGACTGGTTTGATCTCCTTGCAGTCCAAGGGAGTCGAGTCTTCACCAACACCAAAGTTCAAAAGCATCAATTCTTCGGCACTCAGCTTTCTTTGTAGTCAAACTCTCACATCCATACATGACTACTGGAAAAAACATAGCTTTGACTAGGTGGACCTTTGTTAGCAAAGTGATAGCTCTGCTTTTTAATATGCTGTCTAGGTTTGTCATAACTTTTTGTCCAAGGAAAAAGCGTCTTTTAATTTCATGGCTGCAGTCACCACCCACAGTGATTTTGGAGTTCAAGAAAATAAAGCCTGTTACTGTTTCCATTTTCCCCCCATCTATTTGCCATGAAGTGATGGGACCGGATACCATGATCTTAGTTTTTTTGAATGTTGAGTTTTNTAGTTTTTTCTAACCTCCATCCATAGTTTTTCAGGCCCTCTGTCTACCAGATCTAATCCTTTGATCTATTTGTCACTTACACTGTAAAATCATAAGGGATTTGATTTAGGTCATACCTGAAAGGCCTAGTCGTTTTCCTTACTTTCTTAAACTTAAGTCTGCATTTTGCAATAAGGAGCTGATGATCTGAGTCAGGTCTTGTTTTTGCTGACTGTATAGAGCTTCTCTATTTTTGGTTGCAAAGAATATAATCAGCCTTATTTCCATATTGACCATCTGGTGATGTCCATGTGTAGAGTAATCTCTTGTGTTGTTGGAAGGTGTTTGCTATGACTAATGGGTTCTCTGTTAGCCTTTGCCCTGCTTCATTTTGAACTCCAAGGCCAAACTTACCTGTTACTCCAGATATCTCCTGAGTTCCTACTTTTGTATTCCAGTCCTATGATGAAACAGACATCTTTTTTTGGTGTTAGTTCTAGGTGGTCTTTTAGGTCATCATAGAACCATTCAACTTCAGCTTCTTCAGCATTAGTGGTTGGGGCAGAGACTTGGATTACTGCGATATTGAATGGTTTGCTTTGGAAACGAACCGAAATCGTTCTGTTGTTTTTGAGACTGCACACGAGAACTGCATTTCGGACTCTTTTGTTGACTATGAGGGCTACTTCATTTCTTCTAAGGGATTCTTGTGCACAGTAGTAGATATAATGGTCATCTGAATTAAAGTTGCCCATTCCCATCCATTTTAGTTCACTGATTCCTAAAATAAAAATGTTCACTCTTGCCATCCCCTGTTTGACCACATCCAATTTGCCTTGATTCGTGGACCTAACATTCCAGGTTCCTATGCAATATTGCTCTTCACAGCATCGGACTTTGCTTCTATCACCAGTCACATCCACAGCTGGGCGTGGTTTCCACTTTGGCTCAGCCTCTTCATTCTTTCTGGAGCTATTTCACCACTCTTCTCCGGTAGCAGTAGCTACATTTTGATAAGGTCTAATTTGTCAGTTTTTCCTTTTATGGATTGTGCTTCTGATGTCATATCTACGGTTCCTTTACCTAGCCCTGGACATTAAAGATTCTCTGTTTTTCCCTTAAGTTTTATATTTTACATGATCCATTTTGAGTTAATTTTTGCATAACTTATGGGGATTTAGGGGCTTCCCAGGTGGTACTAGTGGTAAGGAATCTGCCTGCCAATGCAGGAGACGTAAGAGGTGCCAGTTAGATCCCTGGGTCGGGAAGAACCCCTGGAGTTGGAAATAAATGGCAACCTGCTACAGTATTCTTGCCTGGAGAATCCTATGGACAGAGGAACCAGACGGGCTACAGTCCATGGGGTCGCAAGGAGTTGGTCATGACTCAGCGACTCAAGACACACACACACACACACACACACACACACACACACACACATATGGTACTGTATTTTTAATTTTGGTTTTTATTTTTTGTTGAAAACTGGACATTTAAGCTAATATATTGTAGTAACTGTGGATTCTGATTCCCCCCCGAGGCTGTTATTGTTTCATTTTTAGTAAATAGCCTATACTCAATTTGTAGAAACTATCTTCTCCATGATATGTAACCCATGATGTCTCTGCTCAGTTTAACTTATATTTTGTTTTTTTGTAAAATAAAAACCTTCGAAGAGATTGCCCTTAGGTCTACATAGCATAGAAGTCAGGCAATGCCTGGTTAGAGGTTCTGCTCAAACATCTTGACATTTGCCTATAGGTCTGGGGGCGAGTGGGGAAGCCTATTCAAAATTCAGTCTGTTTTCAAGTCTATCCCAACTTCTAATACTTCCCAGTACAGAGCTTGAATCCTTGGGTCTCCCCTGTGTGTGCACGTGCCCTCCCATTCTCCCAGGGATGTGTGGAACCTCTTTGGTTCTTTTCCAGGAGTTTCTTGGTAAATTCCTCTAGAGTCTGCCACCCACCCCAAGCTTTCTCCTTTCACTTCCTATCAAGTTCGCTATTTTCACAAACAATGCCACTGAACAAGAGTTTTTCAGCTTTCCCTCCGAGCAAGCCCAACAATGAAGCTGCTAGCTTTTAAAGACACCTTCACCCTGGTAACACTCTAAGCTAGGGATGAGGGAGAAAATGGAAACAGCTCCAGGCGAAATACTTAGTGTTCTTTCTGGAAGTCCAGCCATCTTTCCATAAACAGTTGCATCTCAATTTTTTTTTTTTAACTTACTTGCCTTGAGTCAACTTTCAGAGCCCTGAAGTGGTTATCTTGACAATTTCACCCTGTTTTACAGTTGCCCGACACTTTGCCAGAAATACTCAGACACCCCTAAACCTCTGGGAACCCAGACTCCAACCTCCTCATTTCAGCCCCAGTGGATAAACCCGGCTTCTTAAGGTAGACCTCCCTCCACAGGTGAGCAAAGACTCAAGCTTTCGGGTCGAACTTGCAGGACCAGAACTCAGTACATAACTAGCAGCTTCCAACATCACCCCGCCCTGCAATCCAAGGCACCTGATTTTACCAGTGGACACTCATGATTGCAGATGAGTCCTAGCCTCTCCCTCCTCCGTCAGAGCTCATGAGGAATGTCAACTTTCACATAGTTCAATGGGCCCGATCACTGCTGAAGTTGCCCGATTAACCTTTAACTTTTCCAGGGACCAAAGTAGGGAGGGTGTGACTAGGACAGTAGGCGGGGCTTGTGGGCTCAGTTCTGGTCTCGTTTCTCTCAACTGACCCCCAAGTGCTAGACTCCACGCCACCACCGCATTCCCTGCATGGAGGGGATCTAAGCAAGCAGCCTGACTCCAGGCCTCCACAACTATAACATTTATCATCTGTCTCTGCTGCTGACTAATGTAAGTCGCTCAGTCGTGTCTGACTCTTTGTGATTCCATGGACTGTAACCAGATAGGCTCCTCTGTCCATGGAATTCACCAGGCAAGAATACTGGAGTGGGTAGCCATTCCCTTCTCCAGGGAATATTCCTGACCCAGGGATTGAACCTGGGTCTCCCACACTGCAGGCAGATGCTATAGGCTCCACATATTTTGATTCACTGAATCTTCACAACTCTAGGAAGTAAACCCTATTACTCCTCACTTTTACAGATGAAAAAATGGAGGCAGAGAGTATAAATTAAATTTGCCCAAGGCTTTCCAAGAGAAAAGTTGGCAGTGCCAGAATTTGAACCCAGACAATCCAATTCCTGATCTTAAACCCAAACTCCTAAACACGAGGTTCTATTGCCTCCCCACATGCTTACTATCTGTTCACAATCTGGTCACTGTGACTGCTGGCACTAGAACAGTGCTTTTATTTTTTTTTTCCCAATTATTTTTATTAGTTGGAGGCTAATTACTTTATAATATTGTAGTGCTTTTAAAATAGCAGGCTGCCTTCCTTGAAGTTGGCCATGCAATCGATTTAGTGGTTAAGCCCAGTTTTTCAATTAGATAGAAGAAACTAAAAATGTTAATTAGCAATGCATGTCCTATGTGATAAGCATGGTTTTCACTTCATGAAATGTGTTATATACACTTTCTTTGCATATCAGTTTTCATCAGATGATAGGAACCTACTACAAGGGCAATACCGCTGTTGACAAAGACTAGAGCTTGGAGATCTCTCTGCTTTGCTTGTTCTCACCTATCAAACCAGAGGTGACCCACCAGCCTCGCTCTTGGACACCAACCACCCCCCCCCAAATTCATTATGTTTACAGAGCACCACATACTGTTCCATTGGTAACCTGCTCAGTCCTCACTGGATTCAAGTGCCTACTGTTATCCTTACTTTACAGATGGGAAATGGACACAGGTTCAGCCACTCAGCCTAAGTTACATGGCCCGTTGTGAATCGGGGCCAGAGCTCAGACCTGCCACGCTGACTGAGAACACCCTGCATGGACCAGATGGCGGTAAGACATCTCCCTACAGAGACTGCAGGGTCACCCCGGCAGCAGCCTGGAGGCATCTTGTCCTCCGGTGGGAAGACAGATCCCTGTGGGACCCCATTCTCCACCCATCATAAGCCAGGGCCCTGGGAGCAGTCTCTGCCCTCTGCCTGGAATGCCCCAGGCTAGCACTCACCGCTCTCTGTGTGACTTCAAAGTGTACCTCTTTTCAAGATGCCTCCTGTGATCACCGCAGCTGAGGCATCACGGCCCTCATCCTCTGTCCCAAGAACCCTTACCCCATCGCTAGCTGCCATTACATCAGAAATATATTTCTGTGTTATGCACTGTCTCCCCCACCAGAAGGAAGCACCCAGAGGGCAAGCATTTTGTCTGTGGGCTGCTGTGCCTCTAGTTCCTAGATGGACGAAAGCGCTTAAGAACCCCAGAAAAACGTGTTATTGGGTGAGCAAGAGTCTGGAGTAAAGAGGGTGAGTAACATGAAAAGCAAAACCTAATCTCCTTACCCCCTGGACAAGGCACTGTCAACCTGCCGTCTGTTCTTGCAATGGTCAGACCACCGCTGTTCATCCACCAGCAACACCTAGCGCGGTGTAAGGGGTTTGGGGCCTACAGAGGGGAAAAACAGATGGGCAGAGAGGTTTGTTCAAGACAGGAAGTAAGTTCACGAGCTGGACCCAACTCCGCAGTGCACCTTGGGTCTATGCAGTCACTCTGCTTCTCCCGAGACCTGTGGAGACGGTCCTGTGTGTCTGAGACTCACCGACAAGGAGGTGCTTATGAAGCACCATCTCTAATGGACTTGTGGAACGGGGTCTATGTCAGATTTTATAGATGATGAGAAGGAAGATGCAGGCTGTTATTCCCCAAGGGCTTCCGCACTGTGATGGAGAGAGAACGCCACACCCAAACCTCCGAGTCCGAGGAGGCAGCAGCGAGTGGCAGAAGGCATGGCGAGTTGTGCTCCACCCACTAGAGAGAGAAGGCAGGACCAGGCGTGGGCGGTGGAGACGAGAGCCCGCTGAGGGTCCCGTTCCCACCGGGGCACCTGGAGGCTGACCCCCTCACTGCCTGGCACCTGCGGGGGATTGACGAAGGGAAGACCCATAGAGCCCCAGCCTCCCGGGAAATGGGAAGAATTCACATCAGTGAACACCCTGCCCTTTACAAATAACTACAGGTTAACTGCGGAGGATGCCTTTCCTGACAAAGCAGGCCTGGCCTGTGTGGTAGCTCTGTTCCAGGGAGTCAGGGCCGGCCCTGGTACCTCGGGCCGAGACCACACCAAGAGCGTGTGAACCAAGAAGGGTGTCTGTAAACCCCATCCCCATTCAAACACTCCTACTGCCCTGTATCTCTTCCTTCTTCCGGGCAGGAGTTGGGTCAGGTCTGTGAGCACTTAGTCCAGCGCATTAAGGTTCTGTACTCTTGGGGAGAAGACCTGGATGCTTGGCGGAGCCAGCTTGGTAGGAAATAGTGCCTGCCCCTCATCCTGACAACAGGTGACACTTAAGAACAGCTTGCAAAACATCCCCACTGACTTATCATGTATGTTCTCCCCTCAGAAAACACCCAGCAGATAGGAGGAAATGGAGACACAGCGAATAAATTCAGATGTTTTATTCTGGAAAGCACATGTGCACAGAGTTTCAACACAGAAAATTAACCTGGGAGTGAATGCCGGAACAGATCGGCTACCGACCATCATGCAGCAAGGTGAGTGACACGGACCTGCTGGCCCTCGGAACCCCACAGTGCCTGCGGGAGGGTGAAAAGCCAGGAGGCTGAACCCCTACACACTGCCCAAGAGAACGCAACAGAAGTGGCAAGGCTCCTAATGACGAGAACAACTTACAAATAGAATCAAAACTGATTCAAGTCATACAGTGAAAGGACAAAAGGAAAAGGGAAAGAGATCAATATGATCTGAAACAACTGTTTTAATAGTAAGTTGCTGACCTTTTGTTGGACTCCAGTCCAAGACGCCCGAGGATGGGCCAGTGCTTCTGCACGGGGTCGCCCCTGGAGGGGAGACAGGCCCTGTCTACGATCCTCTGCTCATCCTGAGGGCCCCGCCCGCCCACTGAGGGACACAGAGGACAGGGCCTGGTCTGTCAGCGCCCGGAGAGTAACGGGTCCTCTGGACTTGCTGAGGGTCAGCGGACCCAGCACCCCTGGCATCCCCAGCCTTCCTGTGTACACCCGACTGGGCTTCTGTAAGATCTGAGATCACCTGCAAGGGGAGAATGCTGGGTGTCAAAGTGTGTGTCCTGGCCTCGTGACAAGTCATACTGTCCAGGCATTTTTGGCACTTCCTTTCCTTGTGCCTAACAGAGTCCCTCCTCCCCTGCCAGCTGATGCCAGCCAGTCCCTGTAATTAACACAAGGGTCATTAATATTAGCAACAAGCTGGACCCAACGAACCAGTGAAACTGACTTTTTTCACCTGTCTTCCTTTTATATTACTCTGCCAGTTAATAATCTATTCCTGTAACTCTACTTCCTTGGGATTTTACTAATTCAGCAGCAGCTTCATCTAAAACCTGTTTGTCTTAATGATACTGATGTCTCTAAAGGCCAAGCAAATGGCTCTTTCTCAATCTTGTCTTGTGAGAGTCTCAAAGTCTCTAAAGAGAAAACTAAATTAACTGATTAGCTATGCATCAGGTAAGCAACTCATATCATTAAAAAAAACCAGATACACAAGTCTGATTACTGTGCTTGAAATGTACTAAAAGAAAAAAAAAAGTATTAACATCAAGTTACTATGATGATTATTTTAATAACCTTCAGTAAAAGCCCACAAATGTTTTCCATTCAAGAATGCCTGGGACTTAAAAAACAAACAAACAAACAAACAAAAAACTTGGGATAAAATATTCTAGGCCAATATATTTCAGACTGCAGGGCTGGTTCTAATTTAGAACTGACTACAGACCTGGAGTTAAGGGAAAGAAGTGCTGACAGTCACGCCCAAGACTGTTAACTGCCCTTTTGCTCTATCACTGCTTGGGAGAACTTTCAGAAATCATTAATGACTGTGAGTTAGTAAGGCAAAAAGCTGTGAAGAAAAATGGTAATAAGAACACAAGTGATAAAGGGCTAGAAAAGATGCACAACCGTTTTAAAATGAAGATGGCTTGGAAGGAAAAAGGGATAAAAGAATTATATCATCCAAATGTTATAAGAAAAAAAATGCTTTTGGTTTTCCTGATAAATGGCAAATCAGAATCACTTTCCCTCAGATTTCACAGCCAACGTTTTCTTAATGTTGTATCTACAAGTTGCCATTTCCTTCCAAGTACGTTAACTGCATAAAAATGAAACACCTCCCCATAAAACACCCGGGAAAGAAAAATCTCCTCCCTTCTCAAAGAAAACGAGAGACCCTTTCATGACAATTAAACCGAACTATCACCCTCTCCTTCCCATACTGTCATTTGCATTTCAGAGAAGAGAACGAACGGCTCGTTTTCACTCTAGAGCCACTTGTGCTTCATTTTTGAAGCTCTCTGGAGCAAGGAAGCTGTTTCAACTTTTATAACAGAGGTAAGGGACAACAGAGAAGAAAAAGGACAGTGGAACACTCTGAGCCAACTCAACTCAAACAAGACCAAGCTCCTCGCTGTCCATGTGGAACATGAAACTTTGATCTTTACCAAGTAAGTGACTTTTAAATATTTAACTTTTTACTCAAGATAAAAGCACAAACCTCTCCTAACTAGAGTAGTATTAAAATGTGACTATTTTTTCTTCAAAGGGGAAAAGAGGGGGATTAAAAAAAAAAAGGTATGTCTCCTTGCAAGCAAAACAGAGAAAAAGGTATTGTTGTTGTTACTATAATTATTAAGCCACAGACACATAAAATCCACAAACTGGATTGGGGTGGCTTTGGAAATGCAGTATCATATCAAAGGGGCAGACTGTTTTGAACATTCTGTACAGATCTGGCTGAACAAGAACCAAAGCAAACCTCCCCCACAGCGGTGACACGCCTCGGGCCCCGGGAAAGATAGCACGGCCTGCTCCAGCAGCGAGGTTGCGAATCCCCTTGGGCACCGCGTGGGTCATCCCGCCGAGTCTGCAGGTGAGGCTGAAGGGTTCTGGCGGTACCCAGTGCGAAGCACGTGCATCACTGGACCAATTTCTGAATGGACTTTTATAAATATATACAAATCAGTTACAGGCACTTGAAATGTCTTTGGCTGGAATAACCCAACATTGCAAGATAATGTATTCACAGAGTGTCCAGGCCCAGGCTGGCTTCAGCAGGCGATGATTATGGTTCTTTCGGTCTCTCTTGGCAAACGGCAGCTGCAGGATTAGGCGTCTGCCAAAGCCACCTAGGAGACAGCAAGACGGCCAGCGGGTCACGCAGCAACGCCCAGGTAACTCAGCCCCACCAGCTCTCCTACGGAGGCCCTGGGCCCAGCCCCCAACCCAGGGAGCCACACACATGCATCTGCAAGACAGGGCAATGACCTAAAAAGATCAAGCTCATCTAGGAGGTAACGGATAGAAGTCAGCTGATCTCGGGAAGCGCCATGCTGAGATGGGCCAAGTGTCAGCACCCTGGGAAGTGACCAGCACACTGACCCACGTGGAAGGGGGCAGCCCTAAGGGTTAGCCGTTCTCCAGTGGGGAACTGTTTTTAATACATAATTTTTTAAAGTAGTTTTTTTTTAATTATTTTATTTGGCTGGACCAGGGCTCAGTGGCAGCATGTGGGATCTAGTTCCCTGATCAGGGATTGAACCCAGATCCCCTGCACTGGGAGTACAGTCTTAGCCACTGGGCCACCAGGGAAGTCCCTACTACATAATTTGTTAACGATCTAATTTTCATTTTGCTTGTTTTTTGGCCACATGGTGTAGCATGTGGGGTCTTAGTTCCCTGACCAGAACACTGGAAGGACAGAGTCCCAGCCGCTGGACCCAGGGAAGTCCCTCCAGTGGGGATGTGAGAATGGTTTTTTCCCACAAAAGACGGGTATGTGGTTGAAAAGGCAACACCATGTTATAGGCTGAGGGGCAATGGCTGCTGATAGACAGGAACTAAGTTCCCCAGAGAAAAGGCATCACCCACAGTAAGTGGAAATAGGACTAACTGGGACTTTACCCAGAGACCTCCAGAGCAGTCCTGGGCCAGACCCCACCCACCGCTCACCTTCTCAGGACAGAATTCAGGATTGCTCTGACGCAGTTTGCTGGGTCTGCCTTTGATAACCGCGTAGCAAAACATCGTTATCACCATCACGAAGAGGAAGTAACTGGTGTGCATGAGGTGCAAGTTTATTAACGAGCGGTCATCCTAAACAAAGAGAGCCAATCAGAGATGTCCGCACTGAGTCACTGAGATTTTAAGGCTGGCTTCCTGAAATCTGGGGGCACAACCTCTAGGCTTGCCTCAACGTTCCTTCTCACATGGGAACCGAAGGTTCTCCTCCTATCTTCTCAAGGAGGAAAGCTGGAGCTCACGGTGTTCCAGACACCCACCCACATCCTCCCTTCCTAAACCGGTACTCTGCTCAAATTCCCCCCGGAGCCTTTAACCCCTGCCCTTCCGTCTCTTTTAAAAAGATGTTCTCACAGCCCTCAAGCTGCACAGCTGACCCCCCAAGTCTGTGTTCCTAACCCCAGCTACTCCTCCCCAGAGAGGGTGCAGCCTTTCCCCACGTGGATGAGCCCCTGGCTGGAAACGCCAGCCGTGACTCATGCCTTTGATCCCCACAGGCGCCCGGCCAGCTGTTGAGATCCCAGCCAGGCCTCCACTCCTGTTCCTTCTCACAGCTCCAGGCCTCAGGCTCCATCCCATTTTGTGTATCGGGGGGTAGACCAGTCTTCCTGACACACTGCTTTACAAATTTCCTACAGCCCAAATGCAGGCAGTGCTGGCCGCCTCCTCCAGGGAGATCGAAACGCCTCAGTGAGGCCCAGGGGGCCTTCGGGAACCTGGCCCCTGCCCACCACACAGTCTCAGCTCCACTGCGCGCTCCTGCAGGCCCTGCTGTTCCAATGCCCACAACTCGATACAAGTGAGACATAAGGAAAGAGAGCGACCAGGCAGAAAGAAAAGAAATCCACCTGGCATGTACTGACAGAAGAGAAGAACATTTACAAAAATTCAGTGCAATCTTTTAAAAGTGGGCTCCAGTCTGAGGAGCAAACAAAATCGGCAAATCACCCACTAGCTCAGAGGACAGGGCCTTCCCTCTGTCTTCTCTTTGTAAAGTCAAAGCCTATCCAGGCATCAATATTTAGCCAGAGTCCTCTCCTCCTATTTTCATCTGCCTCTCTGAATCCCACACTATGTACTGCTCCTACTGCCACTAACCACAGATGCTTCAGCAAGGGGCGTGTGCAAGAGGAAGGCTGGCCAGCCTCTCCTGCAGCCCCTCTGAGTTAGGCACACAGCTGCAATCAATACATAACTGCTGTTGGACAAAGCGGAAAATGAAGAACAGAAGCAAAGGGGTGGCATGTTTCAGCAAGTCTCCAGCTTCCCCAGCCTGGTCTCCCCACCCGGCTGGACATCGAGAACGGCAGGAGCTAAGCTAACCCAAGGACGGAGGTAAGCGGGGTCTGCCCTAACAGTTCCTGGACACACACGGACAGACAGGATTCTTCTCACTTACGTCTGGAACAATAACTGTAA